GGCGGCGTCCGTCACGCTGCAGGGGGGGGGAGGGGTCAGCGCGCCGCAGGGGGGCAGTCAGTGCGCTGCGGGGGGTGGGGGGCGGTCAGTGCTGCGGGGGGCGGTCAGTGCGCTGCGGGGGGTGGGGGGGCGGTCAGCACTGCGGGGGGCGGTCAGCGCGATGCGGGGGGGGTGGTCAGCGCGCTGCGGGGGGTGGGGGGCGGTCAGCGCTGCAGGGGGGTCAGCGTGCTGTGGGGGGGCGGTCAGCGCGCTGTGGGGGGGCAGTCAGCGCTGCGGGGGGGCAGTCAGCGCTGCGGGGGGGCAGTCAGCGCGCTGTGGGGGGGCGGTCAGCGCGCCGCGGGGGGGCGGTCAGCGCACCGTGGGAGGGTGGGGGTGGTCAGCGCGCTGCGGGGGGCGGTCAGCGCTGCGGGGGGCGGTCAGCGCGCTGCGGGGGGCGGTCAGCGCGCTGCGGGGGGGGCGGTCAGCGCGCCGCGGGGGGGGCGGTCAGCGCGCCGCGGGGGGCGGTCAGCGCACCGTGGGAGGGTGGGGGTGGTCAGCGCGCTGCGGGGGGCGGTCAGCGCTGCGGGAGGGCGGTCAGCGCGCCGTGGGGGGGGTCAGCGCGCTGTGGGGGGGCGGTCAGCGCACTGCGGAGGGGGGCGGTCAGCGCTGCGGGGGGGGCGGTCAGCACACTGCGCGGGGGGCGGTCAGCCCGCCGTGGGGGGGTCAGCGAGCTGTGGGGGGGCGGTCAGCGCACCGTGGGAGGGTGGGGGTGGTCAGCGCGCTGCGGGGGGCGGTCAGCGCGCTGCGGGGGGCGGTCAGCGCTGCGGGGGGGGCGGTCAGCGCGCCGTGGGGGGGGGTCAGCGCGCTGTGGGGGGGGCGGTCAGCGCACTGCGCGGGGGGCGGTCAGCCCGCCGTGGGGGGGGTCAGCGAGCTGTGGGGGGGCGGTCAGCGCACTGCGGGGGGTGGGGGGCAGTCAGCGCGCTGCGAGGGGGGTCAGCGCGCTGTGGGGGGGGTCAGCGCGCTGCGAGGGGCGGTCAGCGCGCTGCGGGGGGCGGTCAGCGCTGCGGGGGGGCGGTCAGCGCACTGCGGGGGGGTGGGGGGCAGTCAGCGCGCTGCGGGGGGGGTCAGCGCGCTGCGGGGGGGGTGGGGGGCAGTCAGCGCGCTGCGGGGGGGGTCAGCGCTGCGGGGGGCGGTCAGCGCGCTGCGGGGGGGCGGTCAGCGCTGCGGGGGGCGGTCAGCGCTGCGGGGGGCGGTCAGCGCTGCGGGGGGCGGTCAGCGCTGCGGGGGGCGGTCAGCGCTGCGGGGGGGGTCAGCGCGCTGCGGGGGGCGGTCAGCGCGCTGCGGGGGGCGGTCAGCGCTGCGGGGGGGCGGTCAGTGCTGTGGGGGCGGTCAGCGCTGCGGGGGGGGCGGTCAGCGCGCTGCGGGGGCGGTCAGCGCTGCGGGGGGGGCGGTCAGCGCTGCGGGGGAGCGGTCAGCGCGCCGTGTGGGGGGCGGTCAGCGCTGCGGGGGGCGGTCAGCGCTGCGGGGGGCGGTCAGCGCTGCGGGGGGCGGTCAGCGCTGCGGGGGGGTCAGCGCGCTGCGGGGGGCGGTCAGCGCGCTGCGGGGGCGGTCAGCGCTGCGGGGGGGCGGTCAGCGCTGTGGGGGCGGTCAGCGCTGCGGGGGAGCGGTCAGCGCGCCGTGTGGGGGGCGGTCAGCGCTGCGGGGGGCGGTCAGCGCGCGCGGCCCCGACCCACTTACTAGACCCACTCCGCGGGCCCCACTTACTAGAGGTTGAAGTCCCCGCCGTCCCCGTCCCCGCCGGTCCCCGGCTCGCAGAAGCACACGAAGCGGGGCGGGCCGGAGCCGGGCGGCCAGGTGCAGAGCAGCGGCGGCACCATGGTCCCGCGGCGTGGGCCGGGCCGGGACAGGCCGGGACAGCTCGACCCCGCGCGGACCCGGCGCCTGCGCGCCTGCGCGGAGGAACAGACGCAGGCGCGGTGTTCAGGGCGGGACTTCCTGTGCCGAGGGTCTGGACAGAGAGGAGGCGGGGCGGCGTTCAGGACGGGACTTCCTGGGCGCGGGCGGGCCCGGAAGCGGCGGGGCGGGGCGCGGCCGGCGGGCGCGGGCGGCCGGCGCTGTGGGTCTCCGCCCTCGCCGCGCTCGGGCCGGGGCCTGCGGAGGTGCGCGCTCCGTGCCCGCGCCTCCGGTGCCCGGACCCCTCCGCGGCGGGGCTGGCGCCGCCCCGCGCCTCGCCCCCGCGCGCGCCGCGCCCACGGCCGCCCTCGGCGCCTCGGCCCCGCCGCCAGGCTCCCTCGGGCCGATCCCGGCAAGCCTAAGGCAGACGCCGCGAGAGGGGCGGTCGGGGGCGGCGCGCGGGGCACGCTCGCCGGAGGGGAGACCTGCGGGCACCGGGTGGGGCCCAGCCCGCGCGGACAGCCCGGCGGGGCCGGCGGGCCTGGGAGCAGCTGCTGCGCCGGACCAGAGAGCGGGAGCGCGCCACCAGGGGGCCCCAGGAACCAGGGGGACCCCACCAGCCAGGGGGCCCCAGGAGCAGGCAGTGAGCTTGTAAGCCGCTCACATCCTGACGTGCCCCAGCCAAGCCCGCCCGCACCGCGGCCCCCTGGCACACTGCTGAGCCTCCTCGGAGCCTTCCCACACGCCGTTCTGTCCCCAGACCCACACATTCTTTTCCATCCATTCCTGACTCAAGCGTGTTCTCAGACTGGAGGCTTGGCTCTAGTGGTAGAGCATAAACTGAGCCAGAAAACCAAATGAGAGCTCAAGACTGAGTTCAAGCCCTACTACAAAAACAAAAAAAGAACAGAAAACACCTTCTCTGGTCACCACACAGAATAGTTCTACTCTGCCAAACTCCCTGCTCCTCTCTTCCGTTTTATTACTTATTCTCCCTGCTTGTCACTGTCCAAAGTACCTTTTAGCTCAGTGGAGGCAACAATCTGTCTGGTGACCTGTCCTGTACTCTTCTGTGATGCCCCTCTCCTTAGCTGTGCCTAATGACTTGCTTCTAGCCCAAGCACATCCTCTTGAATTGCTCACCACGACACAGAACAGCCCAGGAAGACCTCAGACTAGCTAAGCACCAAGCCTCTGAGGTGAGGGAAGGAGCTTGGGGGCAGACCCCTGTGGAACTTTCCAGGAGATCACAGGCCCCTGAAGCCCCTTTGCTAGCGGGCCCAGCCCCTGAACCTTCAGAAACTTAAGAGATGACACAATAGTTGTTCTAGGCAACTAAGTTCTGGGGGCAACTAAGTTCTGGGGTAATTAATTTAAAATCAGGAGTTTTTCATGCTGATCACTCATGAGGCTACGGACAGCAGGGATTCCTGTTTTATTCTCAGAGCCCATCTGTAACTCCAGTATTTAAATGCCTGGCATGCAACTACCCAATAAATATTGTGAGCTGGGCAACACAGCAAATGCCTATTGTTCCAGCCACTCAGGAGGCTGAGGCCAGAGCATTGCTTAAATCCGGAAGTTTGAGACCAGCCTGAGCAGCATAGTAAGGCCCTGATTCCTTAAAATACTAGTATATGCCAGGTGCTGGCAACTCACACCTGTAATCCTAGCTACTCAGGAAGCTGAGATCTGAGGATCAGAGTTCTGCCTAGGCAGAAAAACGTTCCAGACGCATTTCCAATTAACAAGCAAAAAGCCAGAAGTGGAAGTGTGGCTCAATTGACAGAGCACCAGCCTTGAGTGAAAAAGCTAAGGGAGAGTGGCCTTGAATTCAAGTCTTGGTATGCAAATAAAACAATCCAGGTAAGGAGATGCCTGTCTGTAATTCCAGCTACCTGAGAGCTCAAGGCTTGAGGATCTTGATTTCAAGGCCAGCCCAGGCAAGACTCTAGCTCAACAGTAAAATACAGGCTGGGTCATGACATTTGCACCTTGGGTTCTCTCCTCAGTCTAAATAAACACAGGAAGGATGGATAGATAGATAGATAGATAGACAGACAGACACAGATGGATGTGAATGAATGAACAACAGGGAGCCTGGGAGGCTAAACTGTCTGCTTTTCAGGTGCACTCATCAGGCCTGGCGAAAGCTGAACTTCCGTCTTGGTGAGTTGAGACCCACAAGGGGTGATTCTGAGCAGAAGGGAAAACATCGGACTTTAAGGCCATCTCTGGGACTCTGGATGGAGAACTGGCAGAGGACTGCCCCCGCGTGGCTGGCGTGTGGTGGTGCAGGACATGGCCAGTCCTGGGCTGAGCAGTGGTGGGGCGAGAGACGGCCTGGGGTCCGTCCACCCCAGAAGCGGATCTTCCCGGTCAGATCCGAGTCACGGAACAGAGCCCTGGAGGCTGAGTGCCAGGCCAGTCTCTCTGCCTTAAACTCTTGCTGCTGCCCTTGGAGGCTCCTTCTCTGGCTTCCTCTCCTGGCCCAGTGGAAACCGAGTGGAAGACAGATGGGCTAGGGTGACAGCGGAGGCTCCGGCGGCTTCTTTCAGCAGAGCCTGGGGCAGGTAATGGTGCCCTGCCCAGGATCGGAGCGGGGGTGCGCAGTTACCGCGGCTCTCTGGGCCGTGCCCCCCCCCCCCACGGGGCCGCTGTCCGTAGTGTCTGCAAGTCTGGCTGGGGCCAGCGGTGTCGGGGCCATGGAGGGGCTGCGGGGGAGCAGGAGGGGGCACCATCCCTGACTGCTCAGCGGGCCCGACCGAGCAAACAGCCTGTCAGAACGGATGGTTCCCTTGTTTATTTACGAGGTACGAGGATTTGAACTCGGGCCCAAGCGCTCTACCACCCAGGCCACGCGCGCCCCAAGTTTTTGTTTTGGTTTTTTAATCAGTCACACTCGTTTGTTTCATCTGTTCCCCTCCAGTCGGCGTCCCTCCACTCTTGGGGGGAGGCACTCAGCCCCTGCAGGCCCAACGCCCGCCTCGGGCGGGCACGCGGACCGTGTGGGAACCAGGCCGTGGGGGCCGAGCCCCTGCATCCCGGAGGCGGCCCGGGCTCGGGCCCCGTCACCCACTCTCTTCGCTCCCCGGAAGAAACACACACGGCCGCTGGCTTTCGCAGACCTTTTATTGTGCTTGGGGTGGAAATGGGGTATTCTCTGGGGAAGGCGGCACTGGACGGGCTTCCGGGGCTGATCAGCGCTGCAAGACACGGGCGGTGGTGCGAGGCCACGCCTCCTTACCGCAGGCCACACCCACCAGCGAGGCCGCGCCTCCTTACCGCAGGCCACACCCACCAGCGAGGCCGCGCCTCCCTACCCGCAGGCCACACCCACCAGCGAGCCCACGCCCACACGAGCAAGCCCCACCCACAAGCAAAGCCTCACCACCCATCACCAAGCCCCACCCAGTGCGCCATGCCCTTTCAGCGGCTCTCCCCTCCCCCCCAGCAGGCAGGGAGGGGCTGCCGCCTCCCCCCCCCCATACACTCACCATGGCCAGCGCTCCCGCACACTCCTCTGTGGAGAGAGGGCCTCAGGCACCATCTGTACCCCTTCCCGTGCCTCCAGCCTCCCAGCAGGTGATGCCCTCCCTGGAGTAGCGGCCTGGGCATCCTCTTGTCCCCCCTTGGCCCAGACAGCCTGTGGCGGCCCCTGGCCAGCAGAGTGACCCTCAGGTCCCTGTCAGACCTGCAGCCCTGCGCTGGGGAGGGGGCAGCACTTACCGGACTTGGGCAGCAGGGCGCCCTGGCTGGGGCTCAGGCCCAACTGAGGTGCCAGCTGCTGCATCTTCTGTGCACCTTCGGGAAACAGCTCCGGGGTGCGGGCTGGGGACAAGGAGGCGGGTGAGCACAGGGGACGGCGGGGCTGAGCGAGGCCCACAGCCACTCCTGCTCCGGGAAGGCGCCTGGGAGACACTGCCCTTCCCTGCAGGGAGCAGACTATCTGGGGGTACCAGGACCCCCTCCAGAGCAGGCCCAGGCACGGTTGGGGGAAGAGGCCTGTGCCTGGTGGCCAGGAACGGCTTGCGCACCGTAAAGCTGCAGCCAGGTGTTTGTCACGTCTGCCTTCTGCGTCTGGAAGTACATCACAGCGAAGTGTTCGTAGTCCGTGGAGGCCACGCGAATGTCCGTCTGGGCCATGGCTGGGAGCATGAGACTCACTGAGCCCCAGCCCCTCAGAAGCCCCACCCAAGCAGTCCCAGCCCAGTTGCCAACTGGCAGTGTGTGGTACGTGCCCTTCCCTCCCTGCTACCCCCTCTGCCACCTGCACCCCGCCCTCACCTGGGTTGCTGAACTGCCCATTCACAGCACCCTTGGTGAAGGTCGTGTCCAACTTCTGGCATCTGCCATCAGGCCTGGGAGAGCCCCACTCCTGAGCAGGGACCTTGGGGGTGCTCAGGCCCTGGGCCTGCCTTGCCCTCCTCAGCCACTGCCTGTCCTGAGGGCGCCCTCCCCGGGCCCTGTGCCCCCGTGGTGGCCCTCAGAGGGCACATGGCTCGATGACAGGGAAGCGCCGCTGAGCGGAGGCAGGCGTGTGCTCCATGGGAACAGCGTCTCCACCTTCCTCCAGGTGCAACACCAGACACTGCTCCCTCCACCCCCGGGCCCTGCTGCAGGTTCAGTTCTGCCTGGGAACCTGGGGGGCGTGGGTCACCGTGGCTTTTATTCAGGCCTCCACAGCCCGGCTGTCAGGAGCCCGGTCTGCCTCCCTTGTGTGCCACACCACCGGTTCTTGTTGGCTTTGGTCTGGTCTCACACTGGCCTCCTTCTAGACCAAACTCATAGGCTGGTGGGGTCACTTACGTGGGGTACCCAAACTTGACGGCAAGGTCGCCGTTGCCCAAGGGGGTCACTAGGACCACGGGCATCTTCATGTCGTCCTTGGAGTCCTGGAAACTCTGGTCATCTGACACAGCCCCAACAATGTACCAGGTACCCTGGAACTGCGGAGCAGAGGAGGAGGCCCAGAAGCCTGCTCTGTGCCGGCCTCCGGGCCCACTGTGTCCTGAACCCACATGGCTGCTTCTCTGGCAGAGCCAGAGAGAGCTGGAGTCTCTGTAACAGGGTCTCCCCAGTCCCACCGTGGGGCTGCAGGCAGTGGCAGCTAACAGAGCAAAGGCTGGACCTCCTCCATCCACCCGACACTAAGTGGAATGGGACAAATGTAGGGGACCTTTCATGAGGCCTGGGTCAAAAAAACGGTGTGGGATCCGGGCGCTGGTGGTTCACACCTGTCATCCTAGGTACTCAGGAGGCTGAGATCTGAGGATCACAGTTCACAGCCAGGCCAGGCAGGAAAGTCCGTGAGACTCATCTCCAATAACCACCAGAAAACTGGAAGTGGTGCTGTGGCTCAAGTGCTAGAGCGCTGGCCTTGAGCTGAAGGCTGAGGGACAGCGCCCAGGCCCTGAGTTCAAGCCCCATGACTGACCAAAAAAAAATGGTGTGGACAGGAGCGTGGGACAGAGAAGCGAGCAGGACAGGGTGGAGGTGGGGACAGGCGCACCTGGTCAGCGTTGAAGTTGTCCTGGATGGGGACCTGTGCCCGGCCTGGAGAGGCCTGGAGCAGGGCAAGGAGGGAGCTGACGATCAGAACCTGCCACATCATACCGGATCCTCAAGCACTGGACCAGGGCAGGAGCTGAGGCGGCTCTTCCCAGTGGCTTTTGTGCCCCTCAGATGCCCTGAGGGGGCTGGCCACAGGCCCGGCCAGCCCACTGCGATAGGCTCCCTATTGAATTGCACCTGGCCCAGCTGCTTCCTCTCCACACCCCCCCCCCCCCCCAGGCCCTGTGCTTCCTGTGGGCAGGTCCAGGAGCTTGGTGGCTGGGAGCGCATGTTCCTGGAGTCTCTAGGCCAGGGGCTCCTCTCGGGCCTCCAGAACCCCTCTGGGATATCAAAGTAGACATAGCTCAGGCCTCCTCCTTCAGGAAGGCCACCCAGAGGCCACCCTTACAGTTCAGCCTTGAAATCTGGTGAGATCTGCCTGTGTCTGGCCCACATAATTTGAACTACAAGGAATATGGACAAGGACCTGAGCATGGCCGCCTGGCGTGGGGGTGGGGGGTCAGGAAGGGGTACTGGGCAGTGGCCAGCCAGCATGGGGGCATGCTCCAGTGAGGGGCAGAGGTGGACGCTGGAGCCCAGGTAAGGGCCAGGGGGCCGCAGCGCTGAGGGCAGCGGTGTGGGTGGGGTGGCCAGAGCACTGTCTGCACGTTAGGTGGGAGGCGCCTTTCCAGCCAGCATTCCTTCTTCTCCCCCCAAAGCTTATCTTTGCCAATCTGAGGGTGTTAATCCCGTATCTGAACAATTCTTGGGATCTAAAGTTCCCTGGGGCCTTTCCTGCTCAGGATGGGAGGCAGAGAGGGGTGGACAGCTGTCCGGGGATTAGCGCTGGGCGGTGGACTTTGGGAGCCTGGCCAGCCAGCCTGGCTGTGGCTGGGCAGCAGCTGGAGGGGAGGGGCCGTGGGGAGGCGCAGCCTGGGGGCAGGACAGCCCTGGGTGGGAGAAGCCCCTCCTGGGCCAGGGCCAGCAGCCCCCGCCGCGGGATGATGATCCCAGTGGGACCAAGGCTGTGGACAGGCAAAACAGGAGCCAGTGTCTGACTTGCTTCCAGAGTTTATTCCTCAGAGCCAGGGCCAAGCTGGGGGACAGAGGCGCTGTGGGAGCCCGGGGTCTGGAGGAAGGAGCAGAGCAGCGAAGGCGTGGCGGGCGCGTGAGCTGGCTGGAGAGCAGGGCCTGGTCAGCAGTCAGCGGCGCAGGCCACCCCAGACCGATCCTCCTGAAGCTCCACCAGAGCTTGGCCCCGAGAGCGCCCTCTGCTCCCACGCGGCTTCCCGCCCTCCTGGGGGAGCCTCCTGCCCTGCCCCCAGGCCTGCATGGCCCCCTAGCAGCCAGAGACCCCATGCTGGAAGGTCTCCGCCGGGGGAGCCCTCCCTCTCCTCCCGGGCACCGCACCCTCTACTCCAAGACCACTGGGCCACCATCAGCCTATTCTAGGTTGGAACCAGGATGCCTGGCCTGCTGCGGGCTCTGGCCCGTCTCCGCGCGGTGCATAGAAGCCGGGCGGGTGAGTGGCTCCTACCTGGTGGTCTGGCTCTCCTATTCTTGCTTATTGATGCACTTGTCTGTGGAGAAAGAAGCCCAGAGGCCTGATCAGTGTCCAGGCCGGGACCCAAGGTCCCACCAGTACTTCCCGTCCCTCCCAATGGTGGGGAGCCCCCCCCCCCCGCCCCAGACCCTAAGAGCTGGGCTCTATCAACCCCTGCTTGTTTGGTGCCAGAGAGGCAGTTTGGCGTGAAAATGGCTGCAAGCAGAGGTCACGAGGCCTGGCACAGACCCCAGCCCTGGTTCCCTCCCGAGCCGGGGCCCCATGGTGGGAAGGGCACCCCTCCCCCAGCCTGACCCCACTGGCTCCAGGCAGGACTGCTCTAATCTGCCTGTAATTCCTGCTCCCCCTCACCGGGCTGCGGCAGGAAGACAATGGTGTCCTCTGTGAGGCCCTGGGACTTGCAGAAGGCAGCAAAATCCTCCTTCAGCTCAGCCTTTGGGGTCTGGGTGCGGCCTGGCAGGGAAGGGAGGATGCGGGTGTGGGGGGTGTCCATTCTGCTCCCACCCTGTGTGTGGGGGCTTCCCCTGGGAGCCAGGGTGCCCGTGGGCAGGAGGCTCACTGTAGAGACTGGCCATGCGGAAGTCCTGGTGGGGGCCGTCGATGCCCTTGCTGAACAGCAGCGCGTACTCCTCGTAGTTGGTCTCCACCACCGAGATGGAGTGGACGCTGCCCCAGTCTGAGAACCCAAGAGAGCAGCTGCCTGGAGTGCTCCTCCCTCAAACCCTGGCCCACCCGGCTGCGAGGAGGGCGCCCCGGCTGCGGTGTGTGGCTGAGGGCGGGCGGGCGGGTGGACAGGGGGTGTTCAGGCCCTTGGCTCCTTGGAAAGCTCCCTCGGCCATCCGCGGCCTTCCCTGGCCCTGAGTGCGGCCGCCAGCCCGCTCCCTGCCCGCACGGCCGCAGAACCGCGTCCCCTAAGTACAAATCCTGCGAGAAAGGGCAGGAAGCACAGGGCAGGCTCTGGTGGCGGGGCTCCGGGGCGGGGGCACGTCTCCAGTGGGAGTGGGAAGGCCCTGGTTCCTGAGGCGGAAACTGCTGGGCACGGCGGGAGCCGGGCATTCCCGTGTGCTCCGTCTGGACGGAGGAAGGCCTGGCAGGGCATGGTGACACGCGGGGGGGGGGCAGTCCCCGGGGAGGCCTCTGCCCCACACCCACGCGGTGGCGGGTGGATTCGGGCCTGGGTCGGGGCTGCCTGTCTCCGCAGGGGGCCTCGGGTGCGGGGGGGGGGGGGGGGGGGCTCGCGGCTCACTCACGAGGACTGTGGTAGGTGTACTGGCCGGGGTGCGCCGTGGGCTGCAGCAGCACCACCCGCGTCTCACACTGGTTCTTCCTGTGGGCAGATCACCCCGGGTCAAAGGTCAGGGCCTAGGGCATCCCCAGCCCCGCAGGCCAGGGTGGGCTGTGGGTCTGCGTCCCACCTGAGGAAGGTGGAGGTGAGGTTCAGGCCGCCGTCCCCGGAGGGCGCCACCGTTGTCTTGCACATGGACAGAGCGTTCTTTTTCTCCAGGAACCAGCTGGCGTTGGAGGCCAGGCCCACGCTGTACCAGAGGCCCAGGAACTGCAGGGGGCATCCGTGCCAGCGTGGCCGAGACCCCCCTGGCCAGGCCCCCGGCCCCCACTCCCGCCTCCAGCCCCGCTCCATTCCTTCTCCTTTGCCTTCCGGGGCCAAGACGCAGATTGGACAGACCCACTCCCCCCGCCTCAGCTCTGCCTCATTTCCTGTTGGCTGCCCCCGCCACGCCCCTCCTCGGGAGGAGGGTCCCCTATCCCGTCTGCACCCCATCCTCGTGTCCCTGGGCACCTCCCGCCCCCCTTGGTCAGCCGAGGAGGGAGGGCGCTGGCTCGGCACAGCTGCCCGAGCTGCGTCTGTGCCCGCGTGGGCTGCTCCATCCCAGGCCACCTGCCTCCCGGGTCGGGCATGGGGGTGTGGGGTGGGGTGTGGGCCCTGTGCAGGGAAGGACCGCTGAGTCAGCCTCCTGTGCATCCTCCTGTCGGCTCTGCTGGTCCCGGCGCTGGCCTCCGTCTGGGGAGCCCTCAGTCAGGCCCAGAGGGACTTCACCCCCTCAACCCGGCCCCCACTGAATCCATTCCCCAGGGCCTCATACGTCCTGGGTCTGGGACGGCAATCCTCACCTTGTCAGGCTGGAAGTAGAGCTGCGCAGAGTTCGGGTCGTTGGCCTGCGTCTGCAGGCCCCCCAGGACCCCGAGTAGAACCAGGCCCACCCACAGCACGTTCCTGGCGGCCATTCTGCTGAAGCAGGGCAGGTGTCCCGGGCTTGGGGTTGGCACTGTGGGGCAACCAAGGAGGCGGCTGAGCCAGAGGAGCAGCGGGCACGGGGGACCCCTCTTTATGGGCCAGGCCCAAGGCCTGCCCTCTGGAGCGCGTGATGCCCTGGGGGCGGGGAAGCAGGTCCCAGCTGCAGCCTCATCGCCCACAAACCGCTTATGTAAGAGGCTCTGCGCTCTGTTGTTCATCTCACGGGGGCAGGGGTGAGGCGGAGGCCCTGGGAGGTCAGCCCAGAGACACAGCTGGCCGGGACCTTGCCTGCCCCTCAGTGCTGCCCTCCTCCGGGACCTGGTCACCGCTTCCCATACTCCATTCCTCTCCAGGCCTGGCTACCCCACCAGGGGTAGCCCTGTTTGTGCCCCAAGAATGTGGCCCTGAAAGGCCAGCAGGGCGGGGGTGGCGGGGAGTGACAGCCAAGGTAAAGAAATTCAACCTGCCCGGCAGGGGTTTGAGATGCAGCCGGGCCGGGCTGGCCATGGCTGGTGTTGGGCCCTGGCCCTGGGCCTGACTGTGCAGTCTCTAGACACCCTTGGGCGGAGGACACAGATCTGGGTGGACGGGGCAGGCAGTGGTCTTTGAGGGGCTTCTCCTGGCTTCTGTGGCCTCCTCCCTAGCCAGGGACCCACGGGTGGACATGAGCTGCCCCGGCCTCCTCCCCACTGCCCAGGGCTCTGGGCATCCACAGCTGCGGTGTGGCTCCAAGGCTTCTTGCTGTCACTGGTGTCGGGGAGGGAGGCCCACGGAAGCCGACGTGAGTGGGGTTCAGAGTCAACATCTCCAGAGAACCCTGGGACTCCCCACAATTCCACGCAGCCTCCATCAGCCTCTCCCTGGGGCAGCCCTGTGTGCTGCCCACTCAGGCCGGTCCATGACCTGAGCTGAGCAGGCGGGAATGTGGCCTGGACCCCACCCTGTCCCTGGGCTGCCCCTGGGGTCCAGTCTGACCCAAGGGCAGCTCTGGGGTCTGCCTGCGGGGGGGGGGGGGGGGGGGGAAGGGGGATGGGGCGGGGACAGGAAGAGGAATGTGTGCCAGCCGAGGCCGGCAGCCTTCTGCTGCGGGGCATCCTGTGGGTGGGCCAGGATGCCTGGCCCAGCCTGGGGCGGGGGCCGTGTGTGCCTGCGGGGTGCCTGTGGCAGGCTCAGCCCTCGGACGGGGCCTCCCACCACGCCGGCATTGCCCCTGCTCCCCCGCTGGAGGACCCTAGCCCAGCCCTGGCGTGGGCCCCACAGTGCTGCCCAAGCCAGACTGACCAGCTGGAAACCTGGACTGGGCTCTGCCCTGTGGGGTTGGAATGGGACAGAGTGAGAGGGGACCAAACCCAGGCTGTAGTGTCCAGGCTGGGGTGGGGGACTGAGGCCCTGGGTCAGGACTCGGGCTCCAGCCAGGACCACCCCACAGCAAGTCCTGTCCCGGCCAGGCCTGTCCACCCTACTCCACCTTCCTCCAGCTCCCAGATTCCCTGCCCAGCTGCCTCCCCTGCCCAGCTGCCTCCCCTGCCTAGCTGCCTCTTATCCCATTCTGACGCTACACCCCATCCTGAGGCTACACCCCATCCTGAGGCTGCCTGGAGGAGGCGGGCACATGCTCACACTCTTGTCCCACAGGCTGAGGCTCGGGTGGGATGTGTGCAGGGGAAGGTCGGGTGGGGCGTGTGCAGGGGAAGGTCGGGTGGGGTGTGTGCAGGGGAAGGTCGGGAGGGGTGTGTACAGGGGAAGGTCGGGAGGGGTGTGTGCAGGGGAAGGTCGGGTGGGGCGTGTGCAGGGGAAGGTCGGGTGGGGCGTGTGCAGGGGAAGGTCGGGAGGGGTGTCTGCAGGGGAAGGTCGGGAGGGGTGTGTACAGGGGAAGGTCGGGAGGGGTGTCTGCAGGGGAAGGTCGGGAGGGGTGTGTACAGGGGAAGGTCGGGAGGGGTGTGTGCAGGGGAAGGTCGGGTGGGGTGTGTGCAGGGGAAGGTCGGGAGGGGTGTCTGCAGGGGAAGGTCGGGTGGGGCGTGTGCAGGGGAAGGTCGGGTGGGGTGTGTGCAGGGGAAGGTCGGGTGGGGCGTGTGCAGGGGAAGGTCGGGTGGGGCGTGTGCAGGGGAAGGTCGGGAGGGGTGTGTACAGGGGAAGGTCGGGAGGGGTGTGTACAGGGGAAGGTCGGGTGGGGCGTGTGCAGGGGAAGGTCGGGTGGGGTGTGTGCAGGGGAAGGTCGGGAGGGGTGTCTGCAGGGGAAGGTCGGGTGGGGTGTCTGCAGGGGAAGGTCGGGAGGGGTGTGTACAGGGGAAGGTCGGGAGGGGTGTGTGCAGGGGAAGGTCGGGTGGGGTGTGTGCAGGGGAAGGTCGGGAGGGGTGTCTGCAGGGGAAGGTCGGGTGGGGTGTGTGCAGGGGAAGGTCGGGTGGGGCGTGTGCAGGGGAAGGTCGGGTGGGGTGTGTGCAGGGGAAGGTCGGGAGGGGTGTGTGCAGGGGAAGGTCGGGTGGGGCGTGTGCAGGGGAAGGTCGGGTGGGGCGTGTGCAGGGGAAGGTCGGGAGGGGTGTCTGCAGGGGAAGGTCGGGAGGGGTGTGTACAGGGGAAGGTCGGGAGGGGTGTCTGCAGGGGAAGGTCGGGAGGGGTGTGTACAGGGGAAGGTCGGGAGGGGTGTGTGCAGGGGAAGGTCGGGTGGGGTGTGTGCAGGGGAAGGTCGGGAGGGGTGTCTGCAGGGGAAGGTCGGGTGGGGCGTCTGCAGGGGAAGGTCGGGTGGGGCGTGTGCAGGGGAAGGTCGGGTGGGGTGTGTGCAGGGGAAGGTCGGGTGGGGCGTGTGCAGGGGAAGGTCGGGAGGGGCGTGTGCAGGGGAAGGTCGGGAGGGGTGTCTGCAGGGGAAGGTCGGGAGGGGTGTCTGCAGGGGAAGGTCGGGTGGGGTGTGTGCAGGGGAAGGTCGGGAGGGGTGTCCGCAGGGGAAGGTCGGGTGGGGTGTTCTCCAGGGTGGCCTGGAGCACAGTGTGGTCAGCCAGTGCTGGGCAGTTGGAACCCGTGGTCTTGACCACACCAGGACTGCCTGGGCTCAGGCCACTCACCTGGGGGGTCTGCGCACAGGGGCTTTGGGTTCAGCTCAGGGGTCCGGGACCCCAGGCTCCGCAGGGGTGACGGGGGCCGCCCTAGGACGCTGCCCCAGTGAATGAAGGGTCTGGGCCCGGCAGGTGGGAGCGGCCTAGGGACCTTGCCTTCCCCACAAGCTCACAGGTCCTGTCCACGGCCTGGGGAGCCACGCACAGGGCCCCCACCACTCCCACAGACAGAGACGTCCCCGGAGGAGCGAGGGCCACGCCCCAGGGCCACTGTACTCCGAGCACTGCACTCAGAGCCAGCCCTGAAGAGAGCTCTGGCTGCCAAAACCCGGGTACACTGAGGGGCGGCTCCCCAGCCAGAACAAAGCTTTCATTAAATAGAAAATAAGCTGTGGTAGATCAAAGCCAAAAGCTGACTGCTGGGTAAAAACAAAACAAACCACAGAAATCGGAGCTTGGACGGATTGCTTATGTCCCACAATTGCCACAGATCAACAATAGCAGGATTACAAAACAAACAAACGCCTTCAGGTGATCAAAGAGAGCAGAGGCATATACGCCATGGGAAATTGCCCAGAGAATTCTGTGCTCCCAGCTGAGTTTGTGAAGACTGGGCGCTTTGGCGAGGGTTGGACCTGGGCCCTCCTCTCCCGAGGTCCAGGAGCAGCAAGATCGAGGTGCAGTGGACACTGTGTGCACCCAGATAATATCTAAAAACAGGTGTCTAGGAAGAGTGACAGACACTGAGTTTGATGGGAACACATGTGTCAGAATGGAACTTCTCTTGTACATGTAAAGCATGCTCAATTAAAAAAAAAAAAAAAAAGCAAGCCGGGCGCTGGTGGCTCACGCCTGTCATCCTAGCTACTCAGGAGGCTGAGATCTGAGGATCTCGGTTCAAAGCCAGCCTGGGCAGGAGAGACCGTGAGACTCCTATCTCCAATAAACCACCAGAAAACCGGAAGTGGTGCTGTAGCTCAAGTGGTAGAGTGCTCGCCTTGAGCTGAAGAGCTGAGGGACAGTGCCCAGGCCCAGAGTTCAAGCCCCACGACCGACAAATAAAATAACAAAAACAAACAAAAAAAAAAAAAAGCAGCTGGGTGCTGGTGGCTCACACCTGTCATCCTAGCTACTCAGGAGGCTGAGATTTGAGGATCAAGGTTCAAAGCCAGCCCAGGCAGGAAAGTCTGTGAGACTCTTATCTACAATAAACCATCAAAACCAGAAGTGGTGGTGTGGCTCAAGTGGTAGAGCCCTAGCCTTGAGCTGAAGAGCTGAGGGACAGCGCCCAGGTCCAGAGTTTCACACCCATGACTGAAAAAAAAAAAAAAAAGCAAAAGGACATTTACCCTGGGTGGGGTGGCTCAGGCCTGTAGCACCATCTCTCAGGAGACTTGGGTAGAGGAATCAAGGCCAAAGGCTAACCCAGACTGACCTGATTCTAATGAACAGATTTGCAAAGAGAATGAAGAGGCACGGGTGTGCCGTCACGCCACACCAGCTCCCGGGGTGTCTCAGCACAGTTATTGAATCTACAGGGGGACTCTGAGCCAAAGTCCACCTCTTACTCCAGTTCCCCGGGCCGGGGAGAGACCCCATCCTCAGCACCATGAAAAACAAACTAGCCACACCTAGACCTCCCTTTTCCCTCTCTGTGCAGCTCCGCAGGCATTTTGGGCTGCGTGGGCCTCTCTGGGATGGTTTTCCCTGATCTGTCCTCACCGCCGGGCGGGTCAGAGGAGCGCTGGTCGGGGGCTGGACCCCGCCTCGTGGGGTTTGTGGGGCATCCTGGTGATGGGGCGGTGGGTGTGGCAGGAAGGGTGGAAGGGAGAAATCTACTCATCCTGCGTAGGAGCCGGGCCAAGGCCCGGAGGGAGCTGCCCGGGAGGGAGTGCGGCCAGGCCCAGGCCCAGGCCCCTCCGCCCTGAGGCCCAGTGGTGAGGGGAGGCTTGCTCTCAGGCCAAGGTAAAGAATTCGCTGGGGT